CCATCCCCAGTACAAACAAGTGGTAGCCTGAGCGGTCGAGGTCTCGCCCGCAGAGCACCAACCAGTCACAGAGGTCCTCAGGGTCGAAACGTTTCCTTCGAGGTGAGCTTCGAGAGTAAACCCCCGACTTCCTCAAGCCATTGCGAAAAGGCTGCGGGTATCAAACCCCTGTTAGTCCTTCTCCGTGCTTGCACGGGGCGGCCAGTCTGGAGGCAGGAGACACGGTGCAAGAGCCGGGCTCGGTCCTTGGCATCACGAGGCTTGGGCAAGGCAAGGACAGAGGAGCAAGAGGGTGGCAGGGCAGAGGAGGAATGTAAACGGGCCTTCGCCCGAAAGTCCAAAGCACAAATGCGGTCGGCACACACAACCTGCGAACCTGCAGGCGGAGGGAATGCACGCAACGCACGAAGGCTTGCTAAATCCGGCAATAAGAAACATACGAATCCAGTTTGCCCAAGGCCTGGACAAGCCGCCGATGCCTGCAAGGTCCCACCAGTTGAAAAGGGAGGCCAGCTGAGGCCCGAGGGTGCAATGGAGATGTTTTGTTGAGTCATCGAGGAATTCAATCTCGTAGGGGAGCAAAGCAAGGCAGGGGAAAACCCACCCCGCAGTAGCGCACCGAAGCAAGGTCATGCTGTGATCCAAGAGAGTCACCGCGGAGTCGGTGATCTCGAGGAAGCGTCGGTCACCTCCTGCAACGCAAAGGTCCTTGTACAGCTGCACGTATTTGTGTGGCGAGCCCTGCCCCACTTCCACGCGCGCGCACAGGGGCCCCACTGCCTCGTAGAAAGCCGGTCGTTCGTCGTTCACGGGATGCTTTCGAGGCTTGGAGCCGGCTCGGTGGCTTGAGTGGGTCTTTCGCGCACGGCCTCCGGGAGAGAGGCAAGGTTTTTGGACCTGACATGGCCTTTGCAGCCGAGTGCCAAGCCGGAGGCCAAGGCGGAACAGGGCAAGGGCGCAGGAGCGTATCACTGGCTCCTGCATACTTCGACAGGGAGAGAGCTCTGACAGGCAAAGGGCAGATGAAAGCCCCGGGAAAAAAAGGCGAGCCAGCGATGAGGCCAAGATCATGCACAGCAGACGCGAGCAGATCTGGCCGCCCTAGCTCAAGTTTGGGAGGAGGTTTTGGCGCGCCTCCCACGGCTGTGCCGTGCCTGCCCGACTTCACCTAGGCCGTCACACTTCCTACACAAACCCCCCACTCTTCAGCTTCTCGAAAGAACGGTCCGTAAGGCCAAGGGGGCTGCAGGCCCGGATGGTTGGGCCGGTAAAGAGCTCAGACACCTCCCCGTGGAGGCGATCCGCTTGTTTCGCGAGCAAGCTTTGCTGTGGGAACGGCTAGGCGCGTGTCCGGCTCAGCTGCTTCACACCCGCATGGTCAACATCCCTAAACCCCACAAGGTTCAAGGCTCGACTGTTGACATCGCACATGTTCGTCCCATCAGCATCATGTCTTGCTGTTGGAGAGTCTGGGCCAGTGCTTGGATTCAGGCTCCTAGCCTTCAAGCCTGGTTGCAAGCTAATCTGCCCAAAGAAATTGCCTACGGTAAGAACGCTGATGCCCTGCAATCGGCGGCTGTGTTCTTTGAGCACATGGCCAGGGATGGTTATGGGGGGTCCCTTGACTTCACCAAATGTTATGACCTCATGAGGCCTGAGGGCACGCTTCGGCTCATGACTGCTGCGGGCTTCCCCCGAGGGACTGGTGAGCCTGTGTCGGGCTGTGTGGAGGTCTCAGATTCGGTGGGTCTGCTGGGACAACTGTTGTCACAGTCAGCCTCTTTCCGCTGGCCAGGCCACGGCCCAGGGCTGCCCTTTCGGGCCCCTTAGCCTTGCTCTTTGGATGGCCTCGGGCTTAAAAGCTACCAACCAGCTTTCTGGTGGTGCTGCAGCGCCGGGACACAGATGACAGATCCATGACGGCTCGCAGCGCCAGGGCCTTAATTGCTAAAATCACGAACTGGCAGTGCTGGTCTCAGACTGTGGGGCTCCAAGAGAGTCAGTCCAAGACTCAGCTCACGGCCACCACGGCCGCCCGCCGCCGGGCCCTTATCGCTGCTTTTCCGGATCCGGAAAGGGTCACCGACCAGCTTGAAGTTCTGGGGGTCACCGCCAAAGTTACAAATCGGGCTATGTCTGCCAAAGAGGAAGCTCGCTTCGCAGCAGCTAAGCGTGTGGTAGCGGTCTTGGGTAACTTAGGTTTGCCTTTCGAGCATTTTCACTCCGCTGCTCGCAGTTTCGGTGTCGCTAAAGTCGCGTATGGGTGGCTGTGCAATCTGCCGAACAAGTCGGATGCCTGGTCTCTTTGGACTGCCATGCGATCAGGTCAGAAATGCTTACGAAGAGCAAATCGGCACATACGTGCTATCATGCTTGGTGGTAACAGCCATCTAGACATTGTGTCTGCAGGCTCTTTGCTTCGCACCTTGGCTGGCATTCGTGCCCGGGGCATGGTGGAGTGGCACAACAGGGCGGGTTCGCCGCTCAGGGTTTTCCGACAGTGGATGACGGATCAGGGGTGGGCTGAAAGGGGTCCTTGGGCTTGGCAGGGCTGCACTCCTGAGTGTGACGTTGGCTTCAACTCTACTGCCACTGTTCCTCAGCTTCTCCACTCCCTCAGACAGGGTTGGAGGGCGGGACAATGGAACGCCTTCCTCTCCAAAGGGGGTAGGCACGAAGTTCAAGAGCTCAGTGATGTGTCGCCGGCTCTGATCCTCGCTTTTGACTTTGCTAGGACTCGTAGGTTCTCTCAGGATAACCGTGGGTACCGCACGGTGGCCTCTTTGGCCACTGCTACGCCGGCATGCTTTCAGAATAGTAGAGATGACACCTCCACACTTTGCCCCTGAACCTGTGGGGCTCTTGACAACTGGCACCACGTTGCTTGGCTCTGCCAAAAGCGGCCTGCTCAGCGATGTCTCCCTCCTCCCACTTCGGTTGGGCGTCGCCTTGGTTGGATCCCCCGGGACCTGACAGCTCCAGATGCTCGTAATCTCGTGACTTGGCTGGAGGTTGTGCAAAATGCCATCTGGCACCAGCGCCACGGCCGTCCGCCTGAGGAGTAGTCTTTCATGTGCTCATGAGCTTGACTTCATGTCTCTTGCCTTCTGACCTGCTCTTGCAGGTTCTCAGCTGTCCTGCGCAGCTAAGGTCCGGAGGTGCATTGCGCAGCTAAGGTCATGCTTTCCCTCCGCTTCTATGCGCGGGCGTCGTTGAGGGCGTCTTCACTCAAAAACTTCTTCTTCTTCCTACACAAACCTCTCGCTCTTCGCGGACGAGAATGTGGTTGGTGGTTGGCTCCCGGCAGACTTCAACTCGAACTTTTAATTCGTTCGGTGCTGCAGCCTTTTGCTGCTTCTGAATTGATCCACGGCCAACACCTGGGCCTCTGAAAGAAAGGGGGAAGGAGTGCGAGCGATTCAGGAACCAAAGGAGGCTGGGTAGCCCGCAACCTAAACCCTGCGGCAGAGCCGCTGCAAGGAGCATTCGGAGTCCTGATCAAGGGAGGGCAGTCGATGGGCGAGGCCGCCTCAGGAGCAGCCAAACAAAAGCTTCCTCGGAGCCGGCAAGCGAGGCTCGGGGCCGGTCCGGCAGGAGACCTAACCCTGACACGAAGACCCCTGACACTGGTACAAAGGTCCAGAACCTCCCTATCGCTCATGCAAGTATGTAGCCTTGAAGCCTGTGCCTGAGCAAAGGGGAAGGGCTTTCAGCAGGAACAGGGCGAGTAGGAGGATCGGCACAGACCGGTCAGAATCGGAGGAAAACGGCCTTAGAGAGCAAGGGCTGAGATGAAGTCCAAGAGGAATTCGGCCAGGAGTAACCCCCAGATCTGTGCCTGCATCACAAAGGCAAATGTCCACTGCTATAACCTTTTAAAAATGAATGTTTCAGCTGTTGACCTGCCGTCAAGAGTGCTCAATCCCATTCGAAACCATATTGGTAGTTTTGCCGGTGCTTATCTGAAGGAATAGAATGCGAAATTTATGGCTATGGTGCAGTCCACCCGGCATCAACGTGCAGCATCAAGTTCATCGTATACATGATGTTCGCATGTACGAATGAACACGGACATAGCTGCGCACATAGACCCGCAGACATACGTAATGTCGCAGATGCAACGCCGAACTAATGACTTCACGTGATTTCCTAGTGCACTCGCCACTCGCAGCTCACACTTTTGTGCAACTCCTCGTGTTGCGAAGTCTGTTGTCAGGGCTTTCGTGGATGTCCACATCGAAGCCCGCATCCACAAGACATTTTGTCCCGGGAAGGGAGGGTGGGCTGCCGTGAAGCCCTTGAGGATTTTCAGCGGCAGAAACGCATCACATGCCGTCAATTCTGCACAAAGTGCTACAATGACTTCACGCGATTTCCTAGTGCACTCGCCACTCGCAGCTCACACTTTTGTGCAACTCCTCGTGTTGCGAAGTCTGTTGTCAGGGCTTTCGTGGATGTCCACATCGAAGCCCGCATCCACAAGACATTTTGTCCCACACCCATGGTCATGAATGGCACGGGCGGGTAGGGCGGGACAAAGAGTAGACAGACAGCGAGGTTGCCAAAGGCTTAGCCGAAGAGGTTCAGCATGAACTGCTTCGCAAATGGCTTTGAATACACCTGAGCTAGCTGAGATAAGAACTTGCCGCCAGAGATGCCTGAGAGCAGCACATGCGGTCGCTTGGTGAGGCTGCAGATGCCTGCGTGACCTGTGCACCGTGAAAAAACGACTGGAGCCGAACACCAGTACAGGATGGCAGTCGGTTTACGCCAGGCAGTCCCGTACTGGCACTGGTCAGCTTTAACGAACTGAACATGTGGAGGTTCCAGTAATCGCCTGATACCCTGCGTTTTCCAGACCTTTGAAGACGCAGGATTCTCAAGGTAACCTGGTATGCCAAGGCGAACGCAGCGCCTAATAACTCTCAAGGCTCCGAACAGCATGTGGTTTGCATCTGCGACTCTTTTCTGATCTTTCTCAGAGAGGTTTGGAAGCCCCATCACATCAGGATAATCGAATCCACGTAGAGGGCCTGGGAAATTGGAATGACGTGGAGCTCTTCTGGCGCCACTCCAAGTGTGACAAGGCAGATCAATACCAACCGCATGAAAATGCACAATGCACCTTAGAACGTCATTCCAAGCACTCATCTTTGTGAGATTATTTGAACACGAGGATTCCTGATCAACAACAGCTGCGATGCCACCATGGTCTGAAACAAAACGTGCTGGCTCAGCGGCTCCTCCAAAAAGGCTCAGGAAGACTTTCCCTTTGAAAGCGTCTGTACGCGTTTCCGAATGTCCTTCGGGACTCGGCAGGAACCACTGCGGTACCAGTCGCCGAAATGGGCACGCACAGCCTCCCCGAACTCTTTCAGCCGACCACCGTCGTGCTTGTTCAGCACCTGTTGAAGTCTCCCCGGTTTGTCGTAAATCCTCGCGCTGCTGTCCGATGCCCAACGACCACGTCTCTGTATGGCCTGCACCGAACGAAGGCGGAGAAGGTGATCTCGGCTCGCGCCCCCGTGTCGATTCTGGTAGCGGCTTTTTGCCACCTCTTCCACCTCCAGGATTTCCACGGCTTTGCGCCAGGACTCTAGGTACTGCTTGGCCGTAAAACTCCAAAGGTTGGCCTCCACTCCGTCCTGCCTCAGCCTCTGTTTGACGTGAGCTCTCAGAACTGTGTCCAGCCATGGGACGCGAACATCGCCGAGGATAAGGACCTCGTCGAAAATCCCAGCCTTTGAAGTCTCCCCCCTCGGCCACCACCAGCACCGGGTAGCGGTAGTCCTGGTTCTTCTCGACGTAGTCCTCGGCTTTCATCTTTAACAGCTCTCCAGGTCGGCCGTAAGTCGAGAAACTGACCTCGTTGAAGATAGCCAGCTCGTCTTTCCCCTGCACCAAAAACACTCCCGAAATGCAGCTCTTGATGAATTCCAGCGTCCGAGCTTCAGCTGACCTTCCCTGACACACTCGGGACGAACGTACTCCAATGCAGCTTGTAGCTTCTGTCCTGCAGTAGAGCTCTCGCCATTGAGATACAGGTGATCTGCGTAGTCGCACAGCGCCTCGTCGAGTTTTGATTCCACCTTTATGTCGATCTGATGGAACCTCGCGAAGCCGTAAAACTTCTCGAGCCTGTTGAAGTAGTCTCTCCTGGTCGTCTCTCTCACGCTGCTCAGTTCTAGGACTGATCGCTCCCCTAGGGTCGCTCGCAGCCGCTGGGCGAAAGTTCTCTGTCTTCGCCTCGCCCTTTCCATCCGCTTTCTGTGGCTCTGGAGTCGCCTCTTTAAGGCTGGATCCCGTGTCCGATTTCCCCCTGCCACAGGGGATCGGCTCCTGCTGCGGGAGGTTTCCCTCCTGACGCAAACATCCTCGAGCTCTGGACTTCTCATCCTCGCGTTCGCCCTCTTGACCTCCTGCACGGTAAGGACTGACACTTTCCTCTTCGATCCCCTGCCCAGCGCGCTTGATTTGGCCAGAGGGAAAAGAGGGCGGCCCATCGGGCTCCCACCACCGGCTTGGTTGGTCCGCAACATTAACCTCTGAAGGCACCCATCGTACATGTAAACGGATGCCAGTGGCTAGACAATGAGCAGCTATGCGTCTGATGATTCTGAGGATTCCATAATTTGCACATCTCCCCTTTTGAACCGCAAGGACCACTCCGAGGTTGTCGTTTAACACGGTGATGCGCTTCCCATGTCTCTCCGAATCCCTGCACCGATGCTTTATGGCACCGAGCACACTTCGGGCCTCCAAGACGTGAATGGCATCGCTCCACCTAATCGGGCTGCCCCATAAAACGTGCCAACGGCTAGGAGTCATCAAAGACTGGTGTACTTCCGGGAAGCTGGGATCCTCACAGATATCCCCGAAAAGCTCTCCATCCACCTCCGGTTTGACGGTCAACGGGTCTTCAAAAACCAGACCAGTGTCGAGTGCAGCTGCTCGGGGGCCCGGGCGATCGACGGGTCCACGATAGTATCTCCATCTCTCGTCCTCACGCCCGACCTCTGCGGCCTCGTGAGCGCTCCAGTCGCTTTCACAGACGGCGTATCCGCTGGGACACGCGTCCGTGCAGAGGGCCTGCCCATCCCAGGGGGCAAAAAGGTCGAGCTAGCGGCATGAGGCATCGGAACAGCTCCAGTTCATGACGAACGCTGTCCCATAGCCGGCGCCTCCGCGTGTAGTTCGACCTTACGAAGGTGTAGCTGGGCCTCAGGATGCCCATCAAACCGCGGTGAAGTAGTGCTCTGGATGTCATGTGACCAATCAAGACCTCGAGCTCCTCTCCTGAGAGGGCTGGAGAGGCCTGGCAGGCACGTAAGGCCCGATCCAGCCGCCAATCGCGGTTTGGAGTAGCCTGCACCTTGCCGCACATGCCATCAATTCTGACACCGAGGCTCTCAACCATTAGACTACCACTGATCACATCGTGAGTGTCCAGCCCATGTTTGCGAAGCTCCTCTCGAACTCGAGCCTGCTCGTCATCGACTTGAATCCTGTCAATGCCGAGGTGGTTGCAATTGTCCGCATAAATAAGCATAGCCGATGTGTGCTCCCCGTCCTCACATCCAATACGAGGCGGAGGTCGCCGATCTCGAACGACTGGGGTCTTGGTGAGCACCCTGCGAGCGACTTCCACGTGAGCTTCATGTGCCAAGTGAAAGGCCCAGGAGAACCCCATCGGCAACACCTTGAGACATGGATGTAACCGAGCTCCCGACACATCGACCAGAGCCACCAGATCCGGCGGGAGACTCCCGCGCACCTCCAACAGCAGCTGAGGGTCAATGGCCGGCAAAGAGAAGTACTCCCCTAACTCTCGACTGATGCCTAGTCTGTAGAAGTAATCCTTCACATCCTCTTGTGCCATGAACAATGGGCCACCTCCTTGAACTTCGAGCCGTGTCCACGACTCGACGGAGCCCAGACAAGTCGTAGGAGGGCTCCTGAATAAGCGATTTGACCGTCGAGCGTCGATGATCAAACGCTGGCGCTGCTGCTTCTTTGTTACAACAAAAACTCCCACCTGAACCCTGGGTGAATCGGTAAAAGTCAGAATGTTGCAATCGATCAGGTCTGAAATGAACTCGTGATACTTTCGCGGATTGTTCCCCAGCACTGGATCAATGTAACAATCACCCGCAAAACCGACCTCAAGCACTGCGGCCGCTTCCTCCGCACTCAACATCATCTCGGACTCAAACTGCTCCAGACGATTCTTCTCCTGCGGTGGTAAGATGTCCGCTAAGTTGGTCGGCTCTCCCTGTCCCCGAGGTAATGATAAACGATTGCGGTCATACGATGTAAGTTGCCCTGGCAGGTCTCCGCTATAGGATGTCCCCGCCTTGCGACACAGCAGCTGCCGTAGCGCTGCCTGTGGACTCTGGCTTGCAATAGGTGGTGGCCGCTCCCTGTGCGATTGTTTAACATGCCGAAGTGCCTTCACCTGCGCTGAATTCAATGGTGCCGATGGCCACGTAGACACATCAGAAAAACCAGCCAGAGAATTGAGTGCCCAGACCGTCTCGCACTCCCGGTCCACCAGCGTCCTCCGCTGGTGCACCCTTTGGCGCGACCTCCTGGAGCCTAAATCCCTCAACTCCCCGGCATACCCCTGGTCCCTAGGCAAAGGCAACGGAAAGAGGTCACCGAACCTGGAACAAGGTCATTTGGAAAACTCTTTGGCGCTAAAACTTGATCGGGCCTCGGATCGCGCGCCCTGCTCCCCAAGGCCCGCCCCCTCCTCAGGGGGTGCTGCTGTTGTTCTTGTCACCGCCCTTGCCCTCGCCCTTCGCGCCCTTTCCTGGCTTGTCACCCTTTTCGGGCTTATCAGGTGCTCCAGGACGAAGATGCCGTTTTTCTTCGGCTGCAAGGCGATTCTGCTTCAAGATCTCGGCTCTGGCTGCTTGCCTCCGGGCTGCATGTTGTTGAAGAGCTGGGTCGACCACACTGCCATCAGCGGACTCCCGAATGCCCAAGAACTCCTCGGAGCACTCGTAAGATGGAGCCTCGGGCCTCCCTTGATGGGCGAACTCGATGAGTGATCGTCGTCTGTTTAATACTTCTGCAGATGCGAGCGAAGCCACATTCAATTGATCATAGCACAGCATGAAATTCAGCGCTCGGCAGATTGAGCCGTGTTCGTGCACACTGCGATCTGTTGGTCTTACACCACTTTCTGGGTCCAGCTTTCATGGTGCTGAACCCAGTCGAAACCCAACCTGCGCAGCTGTTTCATATCACGATAAATGGTTCGCGGCCCTGCCAGTGGGAAGTCGTCGAACTCGACTTCCTCCACCTCTGGCATCGCCTCTGCCAACGTCCTCCAGCGCTCTTCAGCTGTGTCGTACATAACCGGCAATACCCGGACATCCCTCTCAGTAGCACCAGGCTCCAGAGGAGTCGTCTCCTTCTTCACCAAATCGCTGAGGTGTCCGGCGCTCTCCGCAGATACCCCTCGGGCAAGCAAGACAGCCCCGCCTCGGGAGAACAAGTGCTAGTCCTGTCCCCCCACCTGTAGTGCATTGCTTCCAGCGACCGGCTCAATCTGATCACCCAGACGGTCCCCAAACTGTACACTATCACCCAGACACGATCTTCTGCATCCACCTCCGAAGGCTTAGCAGCGGGCCTTGCACCTGGAACGGGATGCCGAACCCCATCGTCGCCCAGCTTCCCAGTGACCCGTCGTGTAGGCTTCGGGGAAGACCGAACATCTTCCTCCGCCTTCTTGATCATTTGCAGCAGTTCCTCTCGAAGAAAGGGGCCTTGATCCGAGTGAGACCACCAGGAAGCCGGCCATTGTGCATCCTTTTTATGTCATCATAGGTCTCCCCGGTGGCCAACGTTGTGACGAAAATCTCTCGGTCAGGTGTGACAACAACTGCTCTATCCCCCTCCAACCCCCGCAACACCACCCTGTGATGGTAAAGCGCTGGGTCATCCACGTAGCGAACGAGCACGTTGTCTAGCGGCAGCCAGCGAGAGCTCATCCTCTCCCGCACTGCCACTTTCCACTACCACGTCCTTCCCTTTGATGTGATCTTCACGGATCCGGCGGCCCCTATAAGGGCAGGACCCGAAAACAAGCCAGGCCAAGGAATAAAGCGAAGCTATGGCAGCCGCCCCACAGAACAATCCTAGCTGGAAATTCCTCCTGGGGGCTACAACGACCTGCAGAGCGCAACTGATCCTTGTAGACCTCTATCTCTGCACCACAAGTCGCCAGCCGCTGCAATTGAGCACTGCAGTTCTGAGCCTCAGACCGCCAATACTCCTGCTTATGCTCGCAATCCCAGCGAGGTCTCTTGAAGTCACTTTTGAAGTCGGACGCTGAATCCTGCCCCCAAAACGCGAAGCCCAACCGAAGTGTTTCCACTAGGAGTCCTTGCAGTATGGAGCGCCAGGCGACCATCAGAGAGACCTAACTACCCTGCCGTGAAGCCCTTGAGGATTTTCAGCGGCAGAAACGCATCACATGCCGTCAATTCTGCACAAAGTGCTACAAAACAACACAGAAGGAAAACATGATGTGCGCATATAAAAGTACAAGTCAAAATGGAGAACAATAACAAAACAGCGAATGCATAATGCCATTCCGCCCGACAAGTTGCAATAAAGATATTGCACACTGGCAACGTCATACAAAAAATTGCAATGAAGCCCAAAAGAGCTCCCTGTAGTTTGTCGCGTGCTTCTTGTAACTGTAGAACGTGCTAACAGAAGATAGACAACAGCACACAAGGAAGACTCGACACTGGCATTTTGTGTACCTGAATATGCCTTTATTCAGATTGCGTGTATGTGCTTGGTTCGGTGTGTTCTGCTGCATACCTGGTTCTGACTGCCTGGCCGTTCGCTGAAGCATCTGTTTGTTCGTTGACTTCTTCATGCATGCTTGCATTTAGATTCTGCACCAGCAGTGTCACCACGAGAAAGGATGTCAGATGTGCTTGTGTGCAAGCTACTACGTGGTGATACTGTGTTTCCTCACATGCTTTAATGGTATCGAGCGGTCCAGCACAAAACATGCTGATTAAATTGAACTGCAAAGGCTGTACCAAAATCACGCACGGGTTCCTTAAGATTTTTGAATTTTTGGAGCATTACAATGTTTCGTGAGCCTTGAAGCAGTGAAATGTGAGGTTCAGGCCACGAAAAACTGTAATGCTGAAAAAATTCCAAGATTGCCAATCTCAAGAAGCACGAAACACTGTAATGCTCAAAAAATCACAAAAATTCCAAAATTCTGGCATCTATGGCCATGCCGGTCAGATTCCATAAATTTTGGAATTTTTTGAGCATTACAGTGTTTCGTGAGCTTTGAGGCCGTGAAAAGAATGTTTTCCGCGTTACACTGTTTCGCGAGGTTCAGGCCACGAAACACTGCTATGCTCAAATTTTGTGAGCTTTGAGGCTGTGAAAAGTTGGTTTTGTTTTAGCATTACAGTGCTTTGTGAGGTCCAGGCCACGAAACACGGCTATGCTCAAATTTTGTGAGGTTTGAGGCTGTGAAAAGTTGTTTAGCATTACAATGTTTTGTGATGTTAAAGCCACGAAACACTGTAATGCTCAAATTTTGTGAGCTTTGAGGCTGTGAAAAGTTGGTTTTGTTTTAGCATTACTGTGCCTTGTGAGGTCCAAGCCACGAAACACGGCTATGCTCAAATTTTGTGAGGTTTGAGGCTGTGAAAAGTTGGCTTTTTTTGAGCATTACAACGTTTTGTGATGTTAAAGCCACGAAACACTGTAATGCTCAAAAAAATCATTTTTTTCCAAAACTTTACGGAATCTGTCCCGGGCCTGGCCATAGATGCCAAAATTTTGGAATTTGTAGAATATTTCAGCATTACAATGTTTCGTGAGTTGCAGGGCGGAAATTTTGGAATTGTTGAGCATTACAGTGTTTCCTGATGTCCAGGACAGGGTTTACGGTATCGCAAGATAACTGTGTGCTTTCAAGGACTGGAATTACTATTTTATGTGTCTTCTGCAACAATAAAGGTTTTCATTATTCTTGCTTGACAAGTATAAACAAGGTTCGCCTAGTCGTTACATAGTTTTTTTCATGTCTGTTCTCGGAGGTTGGTAAACCTATGGCACCAGCAGCACTGGCTCTAGTACTTGAGCTTTCTCGAATATGGTTTTGGCCCGTCTTCGGCAAGCTGCACAGCCTACAGATCCAACACTGTAATAATGAATGCTGCTTACGTGCTACAGCAGCGCAAGCCTATCTGGAACTTGTTTCGTTTCGTATTGAAGACTGTAGGAAACTGTTTGCATTTTGCTATCGTCATAAACAATGGGATCTTCCTATGCGGTTTCCTATGAGACATGAATTTTCTTTCACTTAACTCTTATTGATGCTGTCCTCTACCCTGGAGAAGATACCGATCGCTATGTCCATGGTCGCTGTCATAGAACGTAACGCAAAAAATTAGCACTCTTCAATCTTCAAACGACACTCCCTAGATGTGGTCAGCAGACAAGAAAAACTTGTTTACTGGTATCCTTTACTAAACGGGCAAGAGGCATGAGACTTCTATCGGTTTCTATTGAAGCCACCCCCTCGTATCCTGACAAAGCGATACCGGTTCTTCTGTCTATGAGTGTGGTTTAGACGCTGCCATAGTTCGTATATCACAACATGAAAAAGAGCCCTCTTCAGTCTTCAAAAACTAAAGGTGCCATCGTACATTTTTCTTCTGGGTTAGCAGGAGTCTTTATCTCTCTTGCTTGATAGGTATGAGGATGGCCCATGCACATGGCTGCCTTTAATATCTGTCATAGATCGTGTCACAGCATAAAAAAGGGAGTTTTCATCGACGAAGTGCCACCTTGCTTTGTTTTACAAGGTTAAGGAGCCCCTGCCTTCTGATTGATACGTATCAATGCAGCCAGTCGTAATTAGTCCAGCTCCGTCTTTGGAAGGTTGCAAGAGCTCTCTTACTTCTTGCTGCCGAGGAGCCTTCTCGTGCGCCGGCGTATGTGCACTTTTCAACTCCAGTGAAGCTTCCATTTCTTATGAGGCAAAAACAGACTATTGGAGCAGGGCTTCAAAAGTTCACGCGCTCGTATATTCGACTCCTTTATGTATAATGGGCAGGACATGAAAGGCGCTCTTTGTGTTCTGTAACTCATAAGTCAATTGCTAGAGCTATAATCGGACGCCTCACGAGCAGCGGGAAAGAGATGGCCCACGCACACAGACGTCTTCGTAAGGGAGACCATAGCATCTTTATTATTAGAGAAATGTTGTGAATAAACACACCATAAAACAATATAACACGCAAAAACACGAGGTGTTTTAGTACTACATGAGCAAACATAACGTGCCCTCCAGCATTTCAGCTTCTCCAACCAACACATAAACTATCACAAATCTGCGGCCGAAATTCGGCGCCAGATTTTTTTCACACATATCAAGCCCGCGACGTGTAGCAGCATGGCTTGCATGCACATGGAGTAAAGCACGATTGTATCAGTATTTACGGTGTTTTTCGGCATACATGAGTTGTCGACCAATGTAGAGAAGCAACCTGTGGAATCGTTTGGACGAGATCTTGGGGGGGTGACCAGTTCATATATATATATATATATACATATAATATATGTGTATACACACTGAGGGTGTAAAGATATGCGGGAGAAGCTATGCAAGAACGCACTTTGATACACGGAAGGGCAAGTAGAAAGATAGACAGATAGAAGAAGTGCTAGACCGAAAGATAAATGGCTAGATAAAAATAGATAGATAGATGGATGGATCAATGGACAGCTAGACAGACAAATACCAGTATATAGGAAGACAGGAAAGAAAAACACTAGGACACAAACTGATTCCGAAGTGCAGCTTTCTCGCTCGCTGCTGCTTGAGAAAGTGAGGCAGAGTTCAACTTGACTGTACATGTACTTAGAAGGAAAATTGTCAATCGTCGCTGTTGGCAACTAGTGCTGTTGTTTCCAGCGGGCGCCTGCTGCTGCTCTACTTGCTCTTTCATCAATAATCGCGTGGAGTCACATCTATGTATGAATGCACAGATAGACAGATATACATGTGAATTTACGATTAAAGTACCGACGTAGATATAGATGCCGATATTTGGTATAATTAGGTATAGATGTAGATGTAGACATTACCCAGTGAAATGGCACATGCAGGCTGCCTTTGGAACCACCTGCATTTTCTTTGCCGCTGCCGAAGCCCGAGGGCCTGCAAAGTTCGTCCCAACAATGGTCTGAAAACTCCGTGTGTCGGCACTCTCAGTGGCAGTTTTTCGAGGCTGTGCCTGTCATGCCAACGGCCTACGATACCAGATACCACATAGTGTCCGCCTACCCTTGGTGATCTGTCAGTCAACTGACATGCTCTCGTTGCGCCTTCTGCCTGAGTTCGGATGGCTGCCGTGCCCCTCCTTCCAGCCTCAAGACACAAGTCAAGGCGAGGCAGGTTGGGGTGTTGCCCAAAGGGCACGAGATCTTAGGCCGCCGCTTCCTTTGCTGTTGAAAAAAGCATCGCCGCCGAGTCCAAGGCTGTGAGTGCCACTCATGCTGCTGCTGCCACCAGGCAGCGACCTGAAGTTTTCTAAAGGGAGGCACATCGCTGCTCCTGACCGGCATGCAAAGTGCCGCAAAGCAACGGGATGCCAGACTTCTGCTTCGCCAGTCCCTCGGAGGCTTGAGAGGTCGAGACCAACGATGCGAAGGAAAGTGGAAAGGAGGTCCGGACTGCGCTCGGGGCCGCTGGCGCCGCCTCAGAGCAGCCATGACAAATCGCAGCGGCACATCTCCCCCCAAAGGCTGTGTGTGCTGCGCACTCTCTTTTTGCTTCTCTTGGTGGCACCTCAGATGCCAAGGACCTCTCGTAGAAGGGATAGGTAAGGGCAAGTTTTCGAAGGGTGCAAATAGCTGTTGGGCCTTCGGCCGGGCAACAGGCATGCTCGTTCACTCAACTCGCGTGATTCGCGCGCGGTTCCTTTCTCGTCATCTGGGCCTTCAAGGCCGCAAAGACATGTCTGCTAAGGCAAAATCAGGCGCAGAGATGCCTCAGAAAGTGTCGCCTTCATGTTGTTGTAGTAACGCGTGGTCTCGGACTCTTTCAGCCCATGCTTGGGTCTTCGCAGCCCGATCTTCTGAATCGGGGATTCTTCGAGAAACCATCCGATCTCATGCGCCGTCGCAGACCCAAACTTGTACTTCTGGGATGGGCTGCAAGGTGACCGGGTGTGCTTGCGTAGCGTGTCCCGAAAGCTGCTAACCGACGCAAACTCCACGGAGTGCTTGGAAGCCGAGAAGCTCGAAGATGTGGCGCTCTTGCTGTTCGGGAGTGGGCAATTGCCCTCGTCACGCAGCCGCCAGAGATTCCTTACATCCACAGCCGGGAGATCACGCCGCAGATAGGTCGGAGCCAGAGGATGGGATGGATACAGCGCCGGCTGGCTCCCAATTCGGAGCTCGGTACTCGCCATGCGGCCTGGAGACCCCACTGAAACCTGGGAACACCTGTGGAACATGTAATTCTGACTTCTGCATCTTGACTTGACATTGAGATGCTGGCAAGAATTTGTCAAGCGGTGCAAAATTCCAAACTCTTCTACTGCTACATATAACAACCAAATTTGAACACTGACGCGAATCGGGCCGTCTCGTGACGCGGCCGCCACACATTGTGGCACACCGGAATCAGCTGCGAGCAGAAGCAAGAAGACTACACAAATGAAGTTACCATCGTCATGGTCAGTATTGCAGTCGTCCTCTCATCGTTGTTTAACTCTGCTAAGCATAACTGCCACCGCTCTGCACCTAGGCGCCGCATGCTACTCCTCAAGCTGCTGCATCTCCTTTCCAAAAACGAGCTCGGTCGATCAGCTTACAGTATTGAACCAGCTTTTTCACTACTGCTAATACTGCTACTACTGTTACCACTGCTACTACTGCAACCACTGCGACTACTGCTACTACTGCTACTACTGCTACTACTACTACTACTACTACTACTACTACTACTACTACTACTACTGCTACTATTACTATTACTACTACTACTACTACTACTACTACTACTACTACTACTACTACTACTACTACTACTATTATTGTTACTACTACTGCTACTACTACTACTACTACTACTACTACTACTACTACTACAGTACTACTACAGTACTACTGCTACTACTACTACTACTACTACTGCTACTACTACTGCTACTACTACTACTGCTACTATTTTCAATTGGACGCTGTGCGAGCGGGCTCAGCACGTTGCGGGCGATTGCCACATGAACTGTGAAACTGACCCGATGACACTTTCTGGTCTGAAAAGTCTGAAGAGAAATCCCGTTGTTATTAAGCTAAGAATTTCCTGTCCTACGATGAGTATGTACAAAGCAGCTGATCAGGTAGCTGGGCTTTTGCAAAGGGCAGCCTGCCTCCATGGTACAAAGAAGGAATCACATCGTGCTGTCATGACTGCATCTGACTGGGGGAGGCACATGAGTCACCGCTTAGGCATGAGGCTGTTTGGCTCAGCATGCTGGCGGCGGCATTTGTGCAAGAGAGCCATCAGGCTGCTGGTGCAGGAAGAAAAAGGCATGAAGAAGAACGTTACGGCTAAGCAGTGCCTCAGCATGCTACTGATCTGGCAGCCATTGGCACCGGGTGAAATGGAGTCATCACTGGCGCCACTGTCGGCTTCCGCTGGAGCCGGAGCCAGACCCTCGTTGCCACCAGCGGCCACCAGACAAGTCGGCTTCCGGCCATGTCTCGCCATCTCGACCAACTTGAGTAACGCAATCCGGTTGCTCCACACGGCAACCTGTTCGGACGCAGTCAGGCCTCCAATAATGGCTGGCTCCTTTACGATGGAGATCGTAGCCAGGGAGTGAAGCCACTCCAGCATTTGATCTGACTGGCAGATCTGAATGATCTGGTCCCGTTTGGGAAGTTGGCTGGCTTCTTGCTCCGGAGATGGGTTCTCGCTGTAATCGAGGATCTGCGTTGTGACCGGGCCCTGATACTTGACTGCCGCCCTGGAGGATGGCACGTCCACTCTCTCCACTGGTGCGGCCTGGCGGGTGTCTGGGGCCTGGGCACTGGTGTTGGCTGCGGAGCTGGCCACAGCAAAACAAAAGGGGCCGCGCCGGCAGGCTGGGCTGCGTGAGTCGATGGAGTGCCAGATGCAGCAGAAGGCCTTGCCGCATCCGCAGTATCCGGCGGGCTGGGGCTTGCTGCGGAGGCCTGTTGTGCAGCAGGGGGAGTCCCAATCCGAATCTGGCATTGGCAACTGCAGCCGTTGGCACCCAGCGTGGCGGCGTATCCGGCGTGGGCGATGGGGTGGCGCAGTGGTCACCGTTGCCGTGGCCGTTCCCGGTGCTGTCCCACGCCCCTGGTCGAGCAGATCTACACGGCCCACAACTGCCATTTCCGCCCAGCCATTGCTGATCAGATTATCGGTTTACTTCTCAGCCGCTCCATCACGACCATGAGACAGCAGAAGCCCAACGCGATTCACATTTTGGTAATCTGCTCTTGGAATTGCACCGGGGACAATGTCCACAAGGAGATGAACGCCACATCCGACCTCTGTGCCTCGGAGACATTGTCTGAAATTGGAGTGGTGGCTGCCCGCCGCACGAGCAAAGACTGGGTCTACAGGCCTTTTCTCTGGAGCCCCACGCACACGCACGGCGCCGGCCTATGCCCCACACCCTCTTTCAGACCTACATGCATGATGACCACCAAGGCCCCCCGAGCATGTGCAAAGAATTTCTGGCAGACTTTGAGCGCACCTTTTGCAATGACGAGGTCCTGATCCAGATTCTCAAGTTGCATGCGGGGGAAAGCGGCGAACAGCTGGTACGCAGCTTGCGACAACCTGCCCACAAGGCCGATGTTTTCAGGTATGTCTACAACTACCACTACGGCGGCCTCTACTTGGATATCAAGATTGCTCTCCGACTGCCGTTCGATGACATCTAGACAATCCCGGCTAAGGAGTGGGACAACGCCCAAGTCGGGAAAAGCAAAGAGCTGGGGCACTGCCCACAGGGTATTCCTGGCGTCCTGCCCAGAGAATACCTTGTCATGGCCATAGGCGTCAAAAACGATCATATCTTCCAAGGCATCATCTATGGTCAGCCACGCCACCCTTTGCTGCTGTGCGCCTTGAACATCCCGAGTACATGATCTTCTGCAAAGAGCTGTGGCGCCTGTTATCGGTAGATCTCGGGCACGCTCCGGTTGCAGGCTGGAATTAATCCCGGTTTGGTCCCATCTACCTTCTTCGGGAAAAGCACTCCCAGCAGCTCAAGCAGTTCAAGAATGATGGACACTTGAGTTGAAACCCGGTCAGGCCGACGAGTGGCTTATACGCGCTGCTGGAACTGGCAGAAAGGCATTCGCGGTGATCCCCGAGCTCTGCAACGCATGGAGAACACCATCATGCAGAGCGTTCCGCAAATTATCTCGGAGGTCATCGAAGCCGGAAGCACTGCTGCAGCCGCACCTAGGTCTGCACCGGGGGCACTGCCCACCAACGCCGGCGTTCGTGTTTGGCGAGACGGTCCTCAGCAGCCTGGGGGTAGGGGAATTTGACAATGGCTGCCATGATGACAACGAGCCCCAGTACCAGGGCATCACTGCTGAGGCCGTGATGCGCAACATTCCCAGGGGCTGGAGCTGGTTACAAACCTAGAGACTGGGTCACATCATCTGGCTGCTGGAGCTCCTGCGTACTTGGGCATACGGCGTGCAAGAGAGACCATGAGTGGCCTGACAATGCAGAACGTTAGCCTCGATCGCCGCTGCAGGGGCACTGGAGGGGCAGCGGCCACTGACGATCCGGTGCTCGTCGTCGCAGGGCAATCTTCGCAGGCATCCCGAAGAGTCCGGAGGCCTAAGTAGTGTGGCGTCTGTCTGGTATTCCGATACATTGGAAAGACACGCATGGGAACCCAGGCTGCTGCAGCACGGAAGTCAATACTGACAACAGACAGCTGAGCTTTTCCTCAGTGCACAAACGTTCTTGATGGCTGTCTCGCGCCCGTGCTGTTGGCGGGACAGAAAACCTTGGCTGCGCTCGCCCGGGCATTGCCCCCGTCTGTAGCTAATCGGCTATGTCAGCTGTGCTGCCGCAATCTGCCGGACAGACGCTTGCGTCGAGGTCGGCGCTGGCTGCGTGCTGGTTCGAGCTGTTGCATGACCTTGGGCAGTTGGGGCCTGTCCGCGTCCTGGAAGCACTCAGCCACATCTGGCTGTTGCGCAGTGTAGGCCTAAGGGCACTTGTTGAGACCGTGCACCTTGGTGTGGGCCCACGAGGCGCCCAGAATCGGGTCTGGGTGGCACTATGCCTGGGCAACAGCAAGCTCCTGCAAGTAACGATCCAGGCAACAACTGTCATGAGCAGGACAGGTATCTTCAGTGCTGCAGTCATTGCTCGCGTCAGACGGTAGTCCCGGCCGGGTTCGTGTGCGTTGCTCCATGGCATGGAGCATGGATGATCACCTCTAAGAAAAATGGCGTCCCGCTGCTATGGCGTCCCGCTGCTGGAACGTGTCTGAGCCGGAGTGCTTACTACTACTACTACTACTACTACTACTACTACTACTACTACTACTACTACTACTACTACTACTACTACTACTACTACTACTACTACTACTACTACTACTACTCCTACTCCTACTCCTACTCCTACTCCTACTACTACTACTACTCCTACTACTACTACTACTACCACTACTACTACCACTACTACTACTACTACTACTACTACTACTACTACTACTACTACTACTACTACTCCTACTCCTACTGCTACTGCTACTTGTGAGCTTGCATACATGTGTCAGTCACATGTGCTGTCTCTGCTGAGCTGCGACTCGCTTTCTTGCATGTTGTTGAAACTTGTATGTTTGGTCCGAAACGAAACGTTTTGGCTCAAGTGCCTCGTGTGCACAGTGTAGCTCTGTGAGTTGCACACCTGCGGTCGGTCACGCGACGCGGCTGTGCCTAGGGACTGGGCGTGCGTGGACTCGCGAAGCAAAAACACTTGCGCTGCTGTTTGCCCCTTACTGGCAAGACCAGTTAGCGCGCTTCACATACTGCTACCGCTACTACTACTACTACTACTACTACTACTACTACTACTACTACTACTACTACTACTACTACTACTACCACTACTACTACTACTACTACTACTACTACTACTACTACTACTACTACTACTACTACTACTACTACTACTACTACTACTACTACTACTACTACTACTACTACTACTACTATTTCAATTGAACGCTGTGCGAGCGGGCTCAGCACATAGCGGGCGATTGCCGCGGTGCACTCACATGGTGTGAAACTGACTCAGACCCTATAGCTGAACAGCCCAGGTCAAAGACCTTTGGGTGTTGGCGGCCTACAGGCTTCCAGCTAACTGGCAGTTGTCAGCCGAAGCAAGTTTGCA